GCGCGGGTTGCGGCAGGCACGCCGAAGCCCCGCCAGCATCACCCTGCCTTCCTTGGTGTTGATGTGCTCAGTTGGGTCATTCCACTTCCGTTCGAAGAGGGTCTTCCAGCGCTCGGGCGGGTCCCAGTTGGCACCGAGTGCGGGCACCTGACGAGGATCCTCCCGCAGAACTCGCTCTCGAAGTGCTCGGCGAACTCCTCCAGGGGCGAGCCTGTCACTTCCCTCCCGATACTGACGCTCCAGCTGAGTGGGAGGGCGAGGAGGAGCAGCCACGGCGGATGGCACGTGGTCCTCTTGCCACGGCTCCGGCGAGCCCCCCAGGGGCGAGAGGCCAGCGCTGTCGCAGAGCTCGAGGTAGGGGACCAGCTCGCACCGCGGGTCCAACCGATCCTCGATGAAACGCCATCGTTCGTGATAAGCTGCCGCCTCTCTGAGCTCCGCATCCGAAGCGCTCGTGACCGCCAAGCAGTACCCCAGGTCAGAGGAGTCAGAGCAGTAGGCCATCCGCAGCCGCGGAGCACTCAAGTCGCGCTGGCAGAGGAAGACTAGACCCAGAATCACTTTAATCTCCTGGCGCACAGAGCCCCACACCCGGCACCGCCGCTCGAGTGCATGTTGGATGAACTGGTAGACTGCCCACAGACAGGACAACGCCGGCCTGTTGAGCATGAAGAGGTGCACCACGTGGCCGATCCAGACTCGAAGGACCTCACCTCGAAGTCGCCGACGTCGGAGTAGTTCTTTGCCGGCCAGGTACACTCGCCACACTCGGCGCGGCTGGTGATGCAGAAGACGACGATGTCCGTCGAAAATGGCACCCAAGTGCTCTAGCGCAAAGGTGTGCTCTACTATGTCGTGTGTGCGCATGTCACGCGCAGAGAACTGATGAAGAACAGTCTGTAGGTCTGAAGTACTGGTATTAGCAGACAGCAGGGCCGCGTTGTCGACGTAGGTCGAGGTGATCGGACTTGCAAACGAGGCCCGCGGCGCCCGGTGCTTCTCCCGAGCAGCTCGAGAGGCGCCTCCAGGGACCCCGGCAGCGACGATATGCTCCACAGCTGAATGACAAAAATAGAGAGCCCACGTAAAACCCATGCTAAGCGCTCTGAAGCAGGGGCACACGATGTCAGTGGGCTGCAGCGGCACCATCTTCTCGAGGTCGTCATCCCAGACCTCGGTGACTCCGTAGACGCCAGCCTCGTCGGGATCATCCATCCCGAACCAGCTCGCCATACGCCAGTTGTCAAACTGGTAGAAGCCGTCGACCACGTCCAGAGAGCTCCCAGAGAAAGGGAGAGAGAAAAGCCCGCCCTGCCCCTTGAGAAGCTCGGCCTCCTCCTCGGTGCTCAGCTCGGCGTCCGCGATGTCGGAGAGCTCGGCCAGGCTGAGATCCACGTCCGCCAAGGCGGCGATCGTGCCCAAGTCAGTGTGAGGGGGCATCCGGCACTTCTCGTTGGTCGAGCGGGCGTCCACAATCAGCCTGGTCATACCTGTCTTCTTCCAGACGAAGAAGATTGAGACCCTCGAGAAGATGCGTCGCCTGAAGGTGAGAAGCTGGCGGTTGTACAGCGTGGCGAACAGCTCGCGGCGGCACTGCTTTGAGCGCCGCAGGTCCGGGCACCAGTACGGGGTGACAGAGACGCCTCTCAAACGATCTGCCTCAAGCTCGCTCTCACTCTTCAACACGTGTTTCTTGAAGTCCGTCGCCAGCCGCAGCGCGCCGGGAGGAAGCACGGACTCTAAAGGGAGCCGGGTGGTGGCGCCCTTCGTCACCTTCAGCTTGTCAGGAAGGTACGGCGCCATGTGTTGTGGCTCCTGCGCGTACAGGTCTTTCGCTTTGCACACTTCGTTGAGCGCGCTCAGCGGGGTCAGGTCTCGCGGCCGTTCGCCGCAGAGAGAGATGCGGTCATCCAGAGACTTCAGGATGGACATCTGTGAAGAAGAGGCCTTGCCCGAACTGCCACGGTATAGGCAGTTCACGTCTGAACATACTCTGGTGCGATACAGGAAATTGAGAGAGCGAACTGACTCGACAAGACGCTGGTCTTGATGTCCAGGTTGCCCGCGCATTCCTCGCCACCGGCGTCCGGAGCCCCCGAGGGAGCCCTTCACCAAGCGAGCTGGCAGAGGGAGAGGATCACCATGCCGCCGCCGACCGCGATCGCGAAGACCACGGCATACAAAACTCAGAGCCCGAAGCAACTGACTGGAGGCTCCTACCTGTACGAAGTTAGTGACGGCGAGACCGACCAGGTACTCGGTCCCGCGTGGGCAGCGAAGGCTGCTAGCCCTGCCCTCCCTTGCCGCCGTCGGCGGCGTCGCCCTTGTTCCCCTTGGAGGCGCCCTTGAAACCCTTCTGGCCGCCGCCGCGCCTCTTGTCCTCGGCAGCCCGCTCCTCCCGAAGTAGACGAGACTGCTTGAGGGTAAAAGCCCGCTGGTGCTGCTTCTCGGCGACCCACCTGGTGAACTTGGGAACGGCCACGCGCCCCTTGTCCTCAGTCGAGCCCGCCAACATGTAGCCGAGCCCGCTGTAGTCGGGGTGCTTCGCGTCCTTCTCCACCGCGAGCTCATGCTGGATGAGCCTCCTGACGAGCTGCTCGCCCATGGCAGAGTTTGCCAGGTTGTACTGGTCATAGGTGAGCCCCAAGCGCAGCGCCTCCAGGATGATGCGATGGTCATGTGCGATCCCACTGTTGGGCGAGACCCCGGCCGCCACGCACCAGTTCTGATGGTAGCTGTCGAACGAGCCATCGGTGGTCTCCAAGATCCCGTCCAGATACTCTTTGACCGCACGCGGGTCAGCAAACGGGAAGTCGTCGAACTTAGTCTCCTCGAGCTTGCTGACTGCGTCCTTCGCCTGGAGGAAACGCTTGCCTCCTGTCGTGCGGAAGGTGCCGAGGAGTCGCAGGTCGCCTCCACCGCCGACCCGACTCTTCCAGTCCGCCAGGTCGTTCTGGTTGACGCGCTCCACGTGCACCTCCGTCGAGGCGTCGTTGGCGTCGAGCTGCACCACCCCCTTGGTGTCCCGGAGCAGGGCCCGCCCAGCGTCGTCCAAGATGCCAGGCTCGACCTGCTCCCCGAACCGCGGGTGGGACGTGTCAGAGACCACCCAGACCTCGGCGTCGTCCACCTCGATGTCTTCCCCAGCGATGTCGGCCAGCACCTTCGCACGCGCGATGGCCTCGCTGAGCTCCCTAACAGGGATCGGGTCGAAAAGGAAGCAGTCGTTCCGACACCTCTCTGGCACAGGTCTGCCCCGAGCCAGCGGCTCGAACCTGACCGTGGCGGTGTCCAGGATCTGCAAGTCACCTGTCGGGGTGAGGACCACCCACTTGCCCGAAGAGATCCGAACGAGCAATACACGATGATGCCAGGCAAAGTTAGGATCGTCATCGTAGCGCACCAAGATTTGCCTCTCTTTGATATCCAAAGCACTCATTGTTGATCAGCGAGCCGCAATGAAGCTGGGGTCGCTGGACCACTCCTCACACGGGTTGCCGCCTGCTGCTCGAAAATGGGAGCCGACGGAGTCGGCGTCGAAGTGCGTCGCGAGGTACACCGACCCACGAGAAGCCCGGCCAAGAAACAGACCAAGCTGAAGCTGAAGGCGAGGCTGATGCAGAACGTCACCGTCACCGATGTACTGAGCTGGCTCTGGACTGAATCCAACTGTCGTGTCAGAACGCGCTCGATGTGCCTGCAGCCCGTGTCCGAAAGAGGCTCGCACTGATTTCCCTCAAAATGACAATGGCAGACCGGCTCGCGGGCCGGATAGCTGAAGGCCACGACGTCTCGGAGGACGGAGTACAGAAAGTGAAGCCTGTCCTGCGGGAACTGCGTGGCGCCAGAACGAGCGGCCCGGGCGGGCCTATCTGAACAAGAAAGGAGCGACTACGGATGCAACAGAAAGCACCGTGTTGTCCGAAGGCCTCCCCTTCTGCGGAAAACGCGTACAAACTCACATATATGCATATATCTACATATATATACACACACACATAGATTACACCATACAAAAGCGTATGGTTATTCGGGCGTTTGCGAGTAGGCACTCTGCGGGTCGCGGAGCCCGCTCGGCGAATGGCGTGCGCACACGCCCGTCCTGGCCGAGGCCTGGAGGCTCTGCACGACAGGGCCAGCCCCCGGCTCGCCCCTGTCCCTCGCTTGGGCGTGCCCAGATACAATGGCCGCCCTGGGGATGCGACCTCAGACACCGAGGGAATCCGTAAGATCGGCATCCAGGTGAGGTGATGCCAGTCCTAGGGAGAGGGGTGTTGCCAGGCTGGTAACACCACCCTGGGCCCCCATCCCCCATCCTTCAGCCACCTTCCCCGAGCCGGATCGATCTGCGAGGGTCCTGGGGCCAGACACGGGGGAAAAACACCCGTTGTGAAACAAATGCAACGCCCGGATCCGAGGGTACGTACGTCTTCGGTGGCAACTCACGGGAGCCTCCCATACCATCTTGTCGGCTCTTGCGAATCGACGCTGATCCGCGCTGAATCGACGCCAACCTGATTACCAGACGCTAATCGACACTAGTGCGCTCCAAAGACGCACCCACGAAGGCACGCAAGGCTCCCATGCTCTGCCCCGAGCGCGCCCGTCATGGCCGAGGTCGCGGGGCTCTGCACACCAGCCTCGGGGCACGGGGTGGCCTTGGCCCAGGCCCAGTCGAGGATCTAACAGCACACTCCCATGCCCGTGGGGGGTCGGGGGGCTGGTTTTTGCATTCCCCCCAAAAAACTGAATTCGATAAGCCAGCACCTGTTTTTGAATACAAAAATCTGACTTTGAATTCAAAAACCCGTGGGGGGTCGGGGGGCTGGTTGTTGAATTCAAAAACAAGCACCGGCTGAGGGTGTGGGTGCGGATCCTCGGACCCTGGGTGGGGCTCCCCTGCGAGCGGGGAGGCCCCTCCAGCAACACGCGCACCCATGACTCCCTCCGCCACCCCCTATGGGTATGGGTGCGTGCACAGGGTGCCCCTCTGCGAACGCCTGCGCGCTGCGGCCCGCCGCCTGCAGCAGCCCCACCCCGTCGCTCTCCTCCGGGAGAGGCCCCAAAAAGCCCCGACGGAGCACTGCCAGAGCCGATGGAGGAAGTACGCACAGTGAGGATGCAAGGGCCTTGCACGCCCAAGCCGGAGCTCTCGAGCGGCACTGGCCATCGAAGAGGGGTGGGGGCAGGGTAGGGGTGGACCGAGGAGGCAAGGGTTACGAGGGGTACCTCTGGGAAGACTTTATGCATCCTCACTATCGGTATCGACTGCGAAGCCTCCCAGACGGGGTCCGAGTAGATGTGGTCGGAGGATCGCGCCGCATCGCCGCCGCATCGCAGATGCATCGCCGATACATCGGCGCCGTCGGCGCGGAAGAGATCGGGCTCCACATCGCGCCGCACCGCCGATGCATCGCCGATGCATCGGCGAGCGGCAGCGATGTGGCGCGACCATGCGACCGCACAGCCGCTCCGACCTGACCTGACTACCTACCAGACCACCCCCACCCAACCCGAAGACCCGAATTTCGCCTGAATTTCGGGTTGGAGGAGGTACGGGCTTCATGTGTGTTTTTCCATGTTCCCATGCCCCCACCCCACCGGAAATCGAGGGCAAATCGGAGCCTTCGGGTTGGGTTGGGGTGGTTTCGTGGGCGGTGGTGACCTGGGAGGCCTAGAGACTGTCAGCCCAGGCAGAGGCCGAGCGCTCCGTGCGGGCCTCCTCCGCACGGCTTCGGCACCCCTCCGATCCTCGGCCGCCGCGGCGCAGCCCTCGGGGGGCGCCGCCCCGGCCGCCGCCAGGACGAGCGCCAGGGCCGCGGAGACCCGGGTGGGGAGCGCCATCGGGCGTTCTGCCGCGCGAAGGGGGGCGGGGCGCGCACCTGCAGAGGCCTCCCGGATGAGCGACGAACAAAAACGGGTCTTACGCGAGATGGCACACAGACAGCCCGTACGAGAAGGAGGCACGAGAAGGATGCCAGGGCCTTGAAGGTCATGTCGACACTTTGCGAGCAGGGCGCGACCAGCGAAAGCGTTCAAGGATGGGCCGAAGGGGAAGGATGCAAGGGAAACCTTGGAAAGTTGCACATCCGTACAGCGCGGGTTGACTTACAGTCATCGTGCCATTATAGGGAACGCATAATAAAGAACGACGGGGATTTGTTTCTGGCCACGGGCCACAAACAGGTTAGACGACTGAACAATAAGGAACGGCCCAAAACCCCGAGCCCCTCCTAAGCCCTAAGCGGTCCTTATATCAGAGCCTTGGCTATCTCGATCTTACGCGACTGCGTACGCGGGCCGCCAACGCGGAACGCCACACTGGAAGCGAGTGCGCTTGCACGCGAACTTACACGGGCAGCTTACGCGCCAATGTCGGTGAAAACGACCCCCCGAGCATTCGAGCCCGAGACGGGTAAGGGGCCTTGCGTTCGCGTTGCACTGCTTTGCGTTGCGTTGCACAACGTTGACTTGCTCTGCATTGCTCGGTGTTTCTCTGCATTGCGTTGAATTGCGTTGATTTGCGTTGCGTTGCGTTGAGTTGCGTCGAATTGCTTTGCGTTGCATTGATTTGCATTGCTTTGCATTCCTTTGCATTACAGCGCATTACTTTGCATTGCTATGCATCGTTTTGCATTGCGTAGCGCCACTTAGACTGCACCACGTGGATTGCAAGAACTCACTGCTTAGGGTCAACTGGCTAGCAAACATAGATACATATAGACAGGTACGTAGTGCGACAAGCAAACAACACACATCTAACAACACCCCAAAAAACAATAACATCAATATCATACTGGTGACACGCACGTGATAGCTCTACGATTTCCGAATCCACTACCGTGCTTTCGGCACGTTGGGGCATGTCTGGCAAGGGGTCTGCAATGTCCCCGACACCGCCCCCCACCCGCGCGCGGGGTCAACAGTCTGCCCCCCCCCCCCCCCGAGTTGCTGCTCGGCGCGCTTGTCGACATCGAGACGGCGCAAAGATAACAGAAGACCGCCCCGACATGACTGCAAGTCGCCCCAAGGCAATCGAAAAGCTGCCAAACGAGCCCCCAAGGCTCCACGATCTCCCCAGATCTGTCCAAGACGCCCCAAAAAGCGTCCAAGGGACCAGCGAGGCCGTACGGGCAAAAACCGTTGAAAAAAACATAAGATCTATAGCATGTGCTTCCGAAGCTGTTCGGCTTCAGATCGCTTTGGTGGAGACCCCCAAGTCGGCCCCAGGGGGCTACACGACGGCCCCAACATGGTCTCTACTTCGTACTGAGCTCTTCGGAAGAGCTCGGTGCGACCATCGCACCCAAGACTGCACCGAACCCTCCGACGGGCCCCCAAGCAGGCCCTCAAGATGCCATCGAGACGCCTTAGAAACCCAAGATCCCAATGTGCCTTCAAGAGGGAGGCCGAAGGAGGGAGGGAAGGGGGAGGCAGGAAGGACAAGGAGATCGAAGCTGCGGACGAGAAGAATAGAAGAAGAATCAGAAGAAATCAAGGATATAAACATAAACTGTTGGCGTTCCGCGCGGATTTCTTGGATCCGCGCTGGACCCCCCTCCCTGGTGCGCGGAGCGCGCCAGGGGCGGCGCCGGAGGCGCCGCAAGGGGGTCCAGCGGGGATCCAAGAAATCCGCGCGCAGCGCCAACAGTTTATGTTTATGGCGTTTTTTCTTCTTCGAAAGAGGGCACTAAAGACCCGCACGACTTTAGGCAAAGCACCGAGCTGGAGCGGACATCGAACTCGACATCTGTCCAGCTGCGCTGCTGCGCTGGCATGGTGGCGGGGCTTGTCGCAGACCGCTGGATGACAGGTTCGGCAAGATCTGGGACCCCTGCAAACTTAGGTCGGGCATGTCCCCCTACAGGCGGACTCCGGACGAAAAATGCAAAATAATCTTACAGATAATCAACAATAGTCAAAAAATACTAAAAACAAATCGTCCCGAAACTATTGTTTGACTATGTTTGAAGATTCCTCCTATAGAGGGACGAGCCCGACTTAGGACTGCCCTTCACACAGCCGTCATACTGAGAGAATGGATGTGCTGGCAGCGTGTGCCCGCGGCTGAGGCAATCTCGGACGAACGGAGCACCTCGATTGATATGCTGGACCCGCCGATCGCAATCACACAAAACGAGAACCATGCTGCGCACTCCAGCACGGCAAAGCACAGCCCACGATCAGGGAGGCACGCACGAACGCATCACCGCTCAGCCAGCGCGATGGAAGGGCGACGATCAGAAGTCGTACATCACGGCGCGCGCAAGCACACGCCCGCCGCACACGTCGAGGCCGAGCGAACGTGCCGCACCATTCAAGCGTCCGAAGCGGGGCCTGAGGAATTACAACCGTGCAACACCGCGCGCGGGAGACACCCGTGAAAGAAGGGACAGAGACAGAAACCACGGCATCGACATAAACTCTTCGAGGTCCGCGCGGGTCTCTCGGGTCTGCGCCGGGACCGCCCTCCCTGGCGCGCAGAAAGCGCCAGGCAGGGCGGGTCCAGCGTGCACGCCCCCTCTTCGTCACCAGGGGCTGGACGGCGCCGAGGCCCCCCCTGCGCCGCCCCTCGAGCTGCCCGAGCCCGTGGACCTAAGCGAGGGCACGGCTCGGCGGTCGCCGCCGACGACGGGGCGCCCGAGCCGGGCGGCCACGCACGACGAAGGGCGCAGAGGCCGGGATGGGCGGGGGCGGGGGCGGAGCACGCGTCGAGGGTCGGGGCCTCCAAGGAAGCGGCCGAGAGGAGCCCCCGGGCGCCCTCCGAGGAGTCGCGAGGACTCGGCCGAGCCCTTCGGCGGCAACTCAGGGGAGCCTCCTGTGCCGTCTTGCTGTTTCTGGCGCTTGCGAACCGACGCTAACCGACGCTTGCCGACGCTCCTCGACGCCACTCGGAGCGAAATCCGCCGACCCCTTGTGGGTCTAGGTGTGTGAGATCCTTCCCCCCCCTACGTAAGCCCCCCCTGGGACCCCAGACCAGAAATTCGACCCCCCCTTTGGCCGCGCAAGACCCCCGGCCGAACTCACCAGGGGGGGTCTGGCCCTCCCCAGGCTCGCTTTGGAGCTCCAATACAGGCCCTTGGGCGTTCCAAGAGGTTCCCAGCACGGGCCCACAGGGCCCATCGTCGCCGAAAAATCGTTCCAAGACGCCCACGATGGCCTCCAGACGGCCCAAGATGGCCTCCAGACGGCCCACGATGGCCTGGTGGAATGCAGTCCTGGACGCGCAGTAGTTTACAGAGGGGTCGGCGGATGTGGCGCAAGCCTGCAGAATCACTATCCCCTTCCCCGCTCATCTCTCGTCTTGCATCTTGTCCCTTACCATCCTCTTGCCCCCTCTCTTTCTCCACCTTTCGATTTCTGATCATCTACCACGTGGGCGCCCGGCGACGGAGAAGACAAAAAAATGTGCCCAGGGGCCACCACCCCAACCCCGCACAATCCCGCTCCTTCCTGTCAAGCTGGCGAGCACGCTGGCGCCTCGAGGGTGCTGTACCGGCCGTCCGCCTGGCGGGAGCGACAGAGCCGCCACGCGCTCAGGGGAGCGCAAAGCGTTGAGGCCAGGTCCTGGTCCGCAGAGCGCCTGCCGATCGCCACCCGCCCAGTGCGACACGGCCAAATATGCACGATTCAAAAACTTCGCCAGCGTGTCGGGCAAACACCGTTTCGATTATTTTCTGGCGAAGTGATTTCTGAGATGTGGTCCATAAGTACGATGGGAACAAGGGAAGAGAGGGAAACCTCAGAATGACGAGGAAGGAGCGCACCAGAGACGGTCGAGGCCCGGAAGCGCGGGCCGGCGGGAAAGGCTGCAACGGCGGGCGACCGTGACGAGGCCACGAGGCATCCTCCTCCTCCCCATCCTCCTCCTGCTTCTCCTCCTCCTCCTCCACCATTCCTTTCCCTTATCAATAACTTCTCCCTGTCGCACCCCGAGGCAAGTTTTTAGGGCAGGCTGGGCGTTTCGCCTGAGACTTCCTCACCATGTATGACTCTGATGCTTAAATACTTGCAACCGTTTCACAAATGAGGGCGGTTGGTTTTTCAAGTGTGGCTCTCGCCTTAGCGCGGCGCATATTCTTTCTAAAAATGTGCAAGAGCTTCACGGATTAAGGGCGAGTGGTTTTCAAAATGTGGCTCTCGCTTCACGGATTGAGGGCGCATGTTTTTCAAAATGTGGCTCTCGCCTTAACGCGGCCCACATTCGTTTTGAAAAATTGCAAGAGTTTCATGGATGAGGAGGAGGAGCGAGGAGGAAAAGGAGGAGGACGATGAGGAAGAGGAAGAGGAGGAGGGGAGGAGGAGGAGGAGGAGGAGAAAAGGGAGGAGGAGGAGAGGGCACGACCAAATCGAACAGAGTGCGCAGAGCAACAGACGAGCAAATAGAACAAGCAGGAAAAAGGACGAACACGCGCAACACTACGAGTAAAGAGAAGAAAACTCGAACGGGCGAATTCGCGAATTCGAGTTCACCTCAGACGAAGCCAAAGACAGGCATCGTCTGAGGGGAAAAGTGGGCGGGGCTCACCCCTCCACTCCCCCGAGATTGGATCCTTACCAGCCTCGATGGACTTTGAATAGGAGGCGCCTTTCCTGGATGCAATACCCTCGCAGCGGCCCCAAAGACGCGACCGAGGGGCCGACGGCTGGGCCCTGGCCCCACACCGACGCCAAAAAGCAAGGGTAGCTCCAGCAAGACTGATGTGATGCCCCCTAGCACTGTGATATGGAAGACCCGCAGGGTCGGATATCGCTGATATCGTTTGTCGAATGATCGCGCGGCGAATCAATCTGCGTAGCTCTAAGGCCAAGGGCCCTAGTATAAGTTCCGAACCGAAACAGGCAGCGGGAAAAAGGGTGAGAGCAGCAAGAGCAGGGGCAGGAAAGGCTCGGGGAGTGAGCGCAAATCACACTCCTCCTGATCGGCGCTCGCGGCGCCGTCGAGCGACGATCACCGATCGCAGCTCACTACATTAAGCAGGGCGCTTCGCTGAGAGAGCAAGCGCAGACACACACCGCGGTGGATGCTAGGCGCAGCATCTCCACCAGAACAAACAGAGGCAAACGGCCTTGTCGGCATGCTATCCGGCTGCCTCTGGGCATTTAACGGGTGCTGCTACACGCACCGGCAAGAAACAAATAAATTCTCAGGCGAGCAGCAGCGCGAGTCCGATCGCGATGCGACAAGACTCAAAAACACTATCTTATCCAGATAAGGTCTTAATAGTGTGGTCGTCACCACATTGGAAAAAAACTGCGCACACTGAATGAAGCTTCGAACGGGCTGCGGGTGCCGAGCGCGGCAGCTCCACAATCAAGACAATGCGGACTAACGTAGTCTGCCACACGATGTGGCGCCAGGTGCAAAGAAAACAAGCTAGCAAAACGGAGCAGAGCGGCGGCACAGAGTGGCGGCTTGCATCACGAAATCTTGTTCTGCACCTTCGCGTTGCCGGGCACCCCTTGAAGCTGCCTCCATCTGTTTTGCAAGTCCCAGCGCAGGCTGGTGTGCATCTTCGAAAAGTCGGGCTCGTGGGTCATGTGATTCCGGCGAAGCCATGACGCGTGTTTCCGGCACGTCCTGCAGGTCGCGTAGACGCTTTGTGGGTTGTGTCCCACGCGTATGTTGTGCTCGGCGATCACACAAGCGTTCATCTCCGATGGCGAAACCGTTGGCGTTGATCCGTTCCACGAAACCACGCTGGCTGACGAAGAACTGTGAACCGTCATCGGCGATGATGGCGCAGAACTAGCTCCCTGCACGAAGCTGTCCGGTGATGATGGCGGCGCGGCTGGCGCTGCCGATCCGCTTGCTGATGATGAACTCTGGGCTGCAGCGGCAATCGTCGGCGGCTCCATGTGGACATCTCCGTCGGCGTCTTCGGGAATGGTAGGCGGTACGTTGTTGCGGCGTCCAAGGTATCGTCCATCCCATCCTGGATATACTCCGGGCAAGGGGGTGTCCGCGTGCCCGGTGTGGTCAGCCTTGGACTCGTTGCTGGTGTTGTTGATGGTCCCGATCTGAATGGGATTGGGGTCGCCTGACCCAAATCTCTCTTCGCATCACAAACCACAGCGCTGCGAACAATGTAAACCCGATCATGATACCACTGAGCATCGCGATGAATGTCATGTAGCAGACCCAATATGATACCTCCTGCGAGGTAGGCTGTGCCTTCACGCGTCCGAGACATGTCATCAGCACTGAGGCAAGCATGGCGGCATGCGGTTGCCTAGTGCCAAAATTATGCTTCTTGGCCCCGAAGAAAGCGAGGAGCACTCGGGTCTCCATGATCTTGGTGAGCGCGTCGGCGACCATACTCCACGTAAGTATCCACGAGAGCTTCAGCTGGCTGTTGGGGTGCACCGTCTCCTTGATCATCGACGCGACGATGCGAAACCGCTTGTCGGTGGATTGGCCCACAGACTTGATGTGCGTAACCAGGCCATTGCTGTCGCTGTAGATCTCCCCGGATCGTTTGGTGCTGAGGTCGTCGATCTGCTTGAGCGTCTTCTTCGGGTTGTAGGCCTCCGTGAGTAGCTGGCCGAACCGAGTACTCGACTTGGCGCCCTCCAGGGTGGCGTAGCCCTCGGCGGCCAGCGTCGACTTCACGGATCGCTTGACCGTGCCCGAATGCCAGGCCACGGGCAGGCACAAGTCATATCGTCCAGCCACGACGTCCCGTGGCTTGTGAGTTAGCCCAATCGCCATGCCCCACTGGCTCTTCACCCCGTCCACGTTGGCGAAGGCCGCGTCGCTGAAGCAGATAATGGTGCAGGTGCGCAGGTCGATGATGTTGCGCTTGATGACGATGGCGAAGTCGGCGGACCCGTGCACGTAAGCGACGGTCTTGTTCAGCGTCTTGGCGTCGGCCACGGTGGCGGTGTTGGTGCGGCGAGCTGCAAGGCTCACCGGGCAGGCGATGTCCACTCGCGTCTGTACCGCGAGCCAAAGCAGTTGACCGAGCGTGTGGCGATATCCCGAGACCTCCGAGGTGGTAAGCCGATCTTCTGGTGATCGTCCGCGTTGGGCGTTGAATTCGATGAAATCCACCTGGGCGGCGGCCGTCGCCTGGGTAATGCGGAACTCCTCGTTGGTCTTGTTGATGGTCCGGCCGCAGTACTTGATGATACCCTCTACCTTCTTGAGGTGCAGCTTCTTCTGCAAGGAGCTAATGACTCGCTTCCACTCGCTGGAGTTTCCGCACTGGGCGATGAGAAAGTCGTCCACGTGGGAGTGGATCATGGCGGCGAGCCCTTTGTCGTCGTAGTAGTAGTAGTAAAGGCCCTTCTCGAGCTTGCTCTCGATGAGGCCGTGCTCCTGGAACACCTTCTGGGCGTAGAGGTACCACTGGCGTCCTGCATCTCGGGTACCATAGATGGCGCCAGTCGCCATCACGATCTCGCCGGGCAGTGTGCCTGGCGGCGGGTTCTTGGCTGGCATGCGTAGCAGTAGCAGCCTCTCGGTGTTGCCCGACTGCAGGTAGGCCGTCATCGCGTCGTACGACGTGAAGTCCCAGCCAAGCTGGGCGGCGGCAGCAAGCGCGAGGTAAAGCGCGCCCCTTGACCCAGTCGGCGCGTCCGCGCGGATCTGGGACTTGTCCTCTTGACAGCCCTGGACGACGAGGCGGGCCTTCATGAGGTTGGCGGCCTTTTGCGTGAGCACCCAGCGGGTACCGACTGGTCGCATTCCAGGGTGTCGCCTGAGGATCTCCTTCAGTTCCTTGGGCGGCAGCTTCTTGTAGGCCCCGAACTCGGTCCACTTGGACCACTCGACCCTCATGGCCGTGTCCATGAGAGTCTTGTCCTTGGCGGAGAGCTTGTCGCACTTGATCTCCTTAGCAGCGGCCTTCCCGGTGAGCATAACCTCTCGGAGCCGAATAGTCGAGTGCGACTCGTCGTCGCTGACCTCGAAGTAGTTGTCCAAGTAGAGGTCGGTCCTGAGTGTGTCTTTTGGCCTCTTGAAGCACTTGGGTAGGTCGTCCTTGAGACTCTCCAAGAACTCCTTGCGCTTGGTGGCTTTGCTGCGGTCGTCTGTCTGGTCGAGCCTGTCACGTTGAAGTGCGCGAGGTGCGTCCTCTTGTTGAGCTTGGCGCTGAGCCTTGTTGCCGCGTTGTCCTTCAGGATGTTGTGGTCTGCGGGCAAGGGCTTCTCTGCGAACTTCCTCCTCCGCGGCCTTGCTCCAGTTGCGTAGTCCTTCGGATCTGGAGCTGTCGGCATCCGGTGAATGTCCATCAGCTTCTGTGCGTCGAGCTCCTGGTGATGGTAGTCGTACTCCATCGCGTTCTTCAGGCTGTTCGTCGTGCACTTCTGGTTGCACGGCGAGTTCTGGAGCTGGATCTGCAGCGCGAGCTGGATCTTCTTGGGCTGGTATTTGAGCCAGAGCGGGGTCAGCGGCAGCAGCTGGGTCAGAAACAGGCGCGGGCAGCGCGGGAAGGTCTCCTCCCGAAGGTGCTGGTGCTGAACCGCTGCCTGAGGCGCCCCCACTTGTCGTATATGATTCATCT